GTTTTTTTCTTCGCGCAGTAGTATTTTCGTATCGGAAGACTCGTTTTCACGAAACAATCAAGTCGCTCGAGACATTCAGATAATCAGGAATAGCTTCGAGATATTAAAACACACCTGGAAGTCGCGCTTAATTACATACGCGATATTACTATCAAAAAAGTGTACGAGGCGAAAAATAGAAAACTCAGATCATCGAAACAACATGGATAATAATTTTTACGACATAAAATGACATTTTTTTATTTATATAATAATTATATTTGTATAACATTATATATTATATTATCGTCAAAGTTTTCCCTTTTTCCCTCTTTGCTTATTCCTTTTTGCCATCGAAAACACACCTCCGGGCAAGAGTCTCTCGAAAATAAATAAGCAAGGGCTGCCTCACGCAAAGTTTAAGGAATTTTAATAAAACGCCAGAGCCTAGTTACCGTACATACGACTTAAGAAGTGCTCTGAAAAGTATAACGTCGCGCGATCGTAATATCTTTGACAAATATTTACCCGTCTCGCGTGATGGTGGTTCGTAGCGAGGTACGCGCGTCGCGCGATAGAGCGAAAAGGGAAGCATATTTTATGAGACGCCGCGGCGGTGTTGGTGTCGGACCTGTAATTTCTCGTTCCGACGTGGGCATGCATTTTTTCATGCGGTTACATCTCTTCCGGTAAACAGACTAAATAAATTACGAGGCTCGCCATCCAACGATCGGACAACCCTGTACTTGCCTATCCTGTCTCGTTCGAGGAGTGTATCGGGATGGAAATATAAAACGCGGGAAAGTCACGTTATTTTATCTACTGGCGAGACAAAATCTAAATCTCTCAAAACGAAGCAAATCTGGATTATACATATAAAGTACGAGAGAAATTTTGTCTAATCTAGACGAAAATATTTTGGCAATTAATTTCAATTCATATCAAAAATTTAATACATTTAATTCTTTTAAAATGTAAATATATATTTTCCATACTGCAAAATATCATTTTATTTTTTATTTCCATGATTTTTGTATGAATTGGTATGTTTTCCCGAAATCTGTCAAATTTAAACTTTACTATCAGAACAATTTATTTCAACGAAATAATTTTAAACGAAAAACGTAGAATATTTGTGCGCAAGCGAGTAGAGTATTCTTGGTTCTTCAGCAATCGAGCAAACTTTGCACTGCTCGAAGAACCGATTTTCGCGCAAGCACATTAATGTCGACGGCCCAACAAAATTTTCGTCATAAATATCGCGCGCATAATACTCGATTTCTCCGGTTGATTAAACGCTCCATTAGTCTGTGATGTTACGCTGTAAACAAAGGTAATTTCCGCGATCGCGACGACGGCGGAATATGCGCGAAATGTTTCGAAATTTTATTGCTCTCCGTCCTCCGTAATCGCTTATAATCCGTAGAAATTTCTAACTATCGTCCGATGCGAACTTGTTAAGCTGTTAATTTGATGCATCGTAGCTCGGCAGCGAGCATTTTTCATGCCGGTTTTATCGCTATTTCCTGTTACGAAAGTTTTCTACGCGTTTAAAAACGAGTGATATTTATAATGCAAGAGATAGAAAGAGAGAGAGGCATGGCGTTTGCAATAACAATAGAAATCATCATATATTCACGTCAATTTCGATGAATCCGATTAACATCCCGTTTGATTGACGGCTGTATTATCTCTCTCGGCAATTACTGTTATATAGGGCGTCTTCGACAAACTGTATTCGCTCTTAACAATGCTTGATTTTTAAATATTACGAGCAAAAATAGAATGAGGAAGACGATTCTTTTGCACAAGAGTTTCTACTGTCAAATTAAGCCGACAGATTCAAGACGAACGGTCGACACTTGAGTGTTAATTACTAGTCCCATGTCGACTGGCATGACGAGAAATACTATCACCATCAAGCGTATACGATTTTGCGTTCGCTGTATATATGCACACATATATTCTACGGAACTACCAATACTTTGCCGCAATTACTGTAATTGCCTTATATCAAAACGCTACACGTTGGATCGATCGAATCGGCAAGCATTCCAATTAAGCCACCGACCGACGACGATTGGATATCCCAAATCTCCATACCTCGCCGTGCTCCCTTGTCCGAAATATAGTTTACTTTTAAAAACAAAAAGCAGCCACTTGATTCCCGATTGTAATTTTAATGCAGATTGCCTGCAATTAGTAATGAATCGAGCTGTACACTGCAAGATCAGAGAGGGCTAAAAAATTGGATTCTTATACATGAAAAATCAATTTCCAGTAATAAGAAATTTAATACACGTATTTGTATTTATAATTTTTCCGTATTTTTTTTTCCGTTTCTTTTTTTATCAAAATTTATAGTCGCTGCCAGCTATAATCCGTCGTTATTCTCGCGGAGAGAGCCATTCGGCTCTCTACTAGAATCCAAATGCGCGATAATTCGAGGAGAATGCCGGTAATATCTGACGATACTCGTCACTGCTCTTGTGATCTGTTTTTGTCAGCTACACGGTGGTCCATCCGTAAGAAATGGAATTTTGCCAGCCGCAGAGGATGCGGCGGAAACATCGGCGAGATCAGGAACGGATCTATGCGAAGGCCGGATACAATCTTCGTGAGAATAATACAACGCAAAATAATTCATCTCGAGAAATACTTGTTAACGAAAAGGAGCAGTACGTTTTCCTTAATACCTCTTTGCCCGATTGCCCTTCTGCCAGGGACTTTTAGAAATTATATCAGCTTTAGATCGTGAAATGCCACCGTCCGTTCCTGGCAAAACTTCTATTTCATTCTGCAGTCAATGGCAGTCGCGCCGCGATGCCGCGCTCACAATGCACCCCCCGCGTACGTGTTTCCCTTTTTGTCCGGGTATCGCATTAAGAGCCCGCCTAATGTCACTCGAAGAAGCGGGCGCGGAAAAGTGGAAAGTATAAAAAACGAGCGGGCCCGATAGATCGATCCGGCGGAAATTTCTCAGGGGAACAACGCCCGTGTGCGCGCGTAAGCGCGATGCCGCGGGCCGTTCAGGCGCTATCCTACATCCATCACGCGGAATTTGCACATTCGTGCCGGACAACTAGATTTACTGGCGAAATATCCTATCCGGCGGCGGTGGGGAGAGAGCGGGCCCGTAATCACGAAGAAATCTATGCAATTTATAAGGCGTATATAAATTGGAAATTATATACAAGAAATATTAATTTTCGATATAACTTATTTATATATGTATTGATATGAATATTTATGTATTGTCTCTCGTATTAATTTCATATTAATATAAATGGTTATCATACACATTGAACTGCGGAAGCCCGAGTATTAACCAACCCGGCAAAAACTTGTCGCGATGGATTAAATTTCCGCGTAAAAGCCATACCTACGTTCAATTAAAGCACAAAAATAGCCACATCGCAATAATCAACAATATCGATAAAGCATTAAAGCACAATCGACGCGATAGATGTTCATACACGATATTCCGCACATTGAATTGCAACGTAAATAATTAATCGTTCACTATTTATCAACATGGTAATGCATAGTGGGCGCATAAATTCGTAACGTATTATTAATCTCTTACGCAATGAAAATTTGTGCTTTTACAGACGATCGATATAACACGGCACGTTTTATCAATCTCACAAAATTAACAATTTAATTCGTGACACATATCCGCTTTCCATAGGAATTAATATCGCGTATCAATATCCGAGAATCGATTTCTCCGCGAATGCGATTCGTTAAGTTTCGGTCGCTTTTCGTCAAAGCGTTTTGAATCGTCTATCAATCTCTACTGCGTTTTTCAGTCGTGAGCCCGCGCTCGCGGATTTTCTCGGGTCCGGCGTTACTGCGCTTCTTGCATGCAGAAGGGGAATAGATTGACTGAAATTGACACCTACACTCCCGCACGTCAATGTGAATTGACGACGACCGAATTGGATAATCGCTGGAAACGCCACGATCGCGGTGACGATTTGCCCTCAGCATTGGCATGTCCTTGTCTTCATCCACACGTCACTTTCGCCCTCATTGAACCCCGTCTATTTCCTTAATTTATCGACACATTTTTTAAATTGGATTTTCTGACGAATTTTATTTGATATCGCCGCGATAAAATTTTTACTTTTCGGCAGTGTTCAAAGCTATTTTTTCAAGGAATTTATATTTCCCACAGAATTGTTGTATTGCAAGAGCGATATCGTAAAACGCTAAAAATTTTTGAAATTATCTAATAAATGGTTTACATGAAAATTAATAAATTATTCCAATAAATAATTCGTCTAAAATTAGCAGAAATATTCGCACGAGTGTTTACGGTATCGTGGTTTAATGCGCCGGCCATAGGAATATTTGTTAGAAGTCCTTCATGACCACGCCGTTCTAAATAGAATGATGTATGAGGTAATTAATGGTTATTCCACGCCTAATTGCCGGAGCGATTATGACTTTTCCGCATGTACATCATTACTGCGCTATGCTGTCGCGACGAGTACGGGTGAAGGAAGTTTTAAATAGCGCTGTCCTAAATAAATTGCAGAATTAGTTTGCTCGTGGATACGGCTTGCAATAAAATATAGAATAGAGTAGGTTTAATTGAATAAATCGCTTTCAAAAGCGATATCAGTAATGCAATTTCTATGATTTCGTAAGAGCTCATTATCGATCCAGCGGATGAATATGCTAGCGTAAATGTAATTCTGACAGTTAAAAAAAGGATTAGTTGCGACATGAAGGTCATTCTATTATCTCATTAATTAAGGACATTATTGTTTTAGTGATCATTTATATAGAAATTTTTATATATTAATATTACCGAGAATTATTTCCGCGAGAAGAATAGAAAGTTTAAGATTTATTCTGCTTTCTGCAAGAAATCTAATAAGAAATGTGTAAATCTGTCTAGAAACCTATTTTTGTTCCACGTAAATCTGTCTATAAATTATTTCTGAATGTTTTCGATCATATTGATTGAAGAGAAATGCATCATGTATTGAAGATGACTATTTCTGTTACAGGTGCGCGACGTGACTCATTGGAGGATGATTTAGAGGACACTGTGAGCTTTGATTTTGCCATGCCGAACTTCTTTGCTGGTATGTAATATTTATATTTCAAAACTAGAGGAGCTGCATAATGTGTGTAGTTTCCATTCCTAATATAAGTCTGTCTCTTTTAGCTGCATTACGCGGTCCCCGTAGTATTACAGTTTCCGTAGTAAAAATTAAATGAATATATCCTTGAGACGTAGAGAGAAGAAAGAGAAAGAACCGCAACAGAAAATAGAAAAGATACTAATATTGCGGCTAAAAGGAATAGAGTTTGCATCACCTATTATATTATTCTATTATTACGTTAATTCTCTTTTCACATCTCGGTTCATGTTTGTTTCATAAATTCTAAATGCAGCTAAACAAGTAGTAATTTTGTCCGCCCGATACAAAGACGGTGTTTAATATAAATGCCGAGCAAATGAGCACATCGGACATTTTCATCAATACTGCACGCGCGCTGAAAATGCGGACTTCAGAATTACAGACGGTCGCACCAAATCAGTTGCTAAATACAGGCGCGAATACAATCCGTTATTTTCATTAGCGCCTCTGCGCTTCTGCGCTTAAACATCACAAATTTCGCAGATGGTGTATACGAGCGTGCGTGTTGCCTCTGACAGGTGGATCATAGAGGCGTGCGCAAATATCGCGCGCGGTTGGAAATGCAACGCGCATCCACGATTGCATCGCGTGCGTCAGGCTCATGTTCCGCTTACATGCGGTTTGTCTGAGCGTAACTTCCGTCAGTCTGTGCCTATAGGGACATTTGGTATTGTTTATGGTGTACCAATTAACGCGTTTCATCGAGGCAAACCTTTGATTAGTAGCGCTCGACCAGCTAATCAATCTCGGATGAATTGTTGTTCAAAACTTGTTTATTTATTTAATTTTACCAGATTTTAATGCGTTCTATGTAAGTATTATGACTTACTCAAATATAATTTTTCTACGCACTTACGCAAGCAACTAAATACACGTTAGCTTTTAATAGCATAAAATTTAAAGATGAACGTTTTTACCTTCGATAAAAAATTTTATGTAATTCTTTAAAAATTCATGTATTATGACATATAAATGTAATGTCATTTTAAAAAATAATCTTGCAGATTTGAATTTAAAAAATAATAATTGCCCGAAATGGGAATTAAAGAGATAAAAATTTCTTTTTGCGAGCAAAATATCTCGTTTCCGAAACGTAAATTATCCACTTCTCTTCCTGATAATAATCGGGATTTCAAATATTCACTTTGCGCTGGTGCGCTGAATATCATCATCGCATTGCCGCGCTATACGCGTATTCTGTAGATTATCGCGCGGCTTTACGGAGGGCAACTTCCGCTCTTCTCTCGGCGCTGGAGGATGATCAACAATCTCTCGTAAACCAGTTCGACCGCGAGATATGCCGGTCATATGTAATACGACTTGTACATATATGTGTATATGTGTACATATATGTATGTGTAACCACGGTAATAATGTCTCACTAGTAATGACTCGCTTATTCGTGTATGTGGGCGCGTGCCTGCCGTCCGTCACTCTCGTTGCGCAACAATTCGAACCATGGATCTATCGCAAAACGATACCATACCCATAGGCCATGCCTTTACTCCGACAATGTATCGCTATTTGACCATCATCGATGATCTCGTTTAAGAGAATCCGCATGCGAAATCGAATCCCCGCATTAATGTGATTTGAGCGCGCGTTAGAGAGACCTGCCGAAAATTTACGTCGCTCGATGTTCAGCCATCAAAATTAAAGCTTCCAAAATTTAGAGTGTATAACGTATGAATAAACATTTTGAAAGATGTAATAATCTTGAAAAAAATAAATATTAGAATGTTTAATTTTGCGATATAAATATATTCTTATATAAGTACATATAATTTAAAGAAAAAAAATTTTTTTAATGTGTTAGATTCTGAATAAGGAAGTTAACACTAACACCAAGACTCTCGTCTTATTTTCTCTTATTTATTTCCCAAAAGAGTAAACATAAAATGAAATTAAGAGGCAAAAATTTTTTTACGAGCAAGAAATCTCGTTCCGGAAACATAAATTATCTCTTCCTTCCTAAACAAATAATAATCGGGATTTTAAATATTCACTTTACCGGTGCACAGCATATAATTAATATGTCTTCGTATTTCTGCAGTTACACGCTGAGGAAAGTTTACAGGAAATGAGAACACATATAGTTGCAATCGTTATGCATTTACAAAACTTGTTTATCTTCGAACGTTTTTCCCGTTCGAACTCGAGCTACTCGTGTATGTGTCAGATAAACAAAACGACAGAAAAAAACCGTCTGTGTTGGATGTATATTTTCGTGTCTTTTTACTAACTAATATTTGACAAAATTCTCGTTAAATATTTTCACACATTTCGCATGCGCGACACGCGTTTTATAAATATTTATGGAATCCAAACAATATGCATCAAACGCCGAATATGCATCCGAATAAGCAAAAATGTTTCATAGGGAGCGACTAAATGGGATGACGACCTGAAAAATTTGTGCGGTTTCTTAAAATCGTAGCGTAATTTCCTTAATGTGTACACAAGTGCTGTGCTCTTATTATAAGCTGCGGCACGATTATATTCCGTGCACCATTAACCGATATAATTACAGTATTACCGTCCAAAACGTATATGAAATAGCAGTAATATTCTAACGAAAACAATTATCAGAAAATATGTTCTAATTAGCTGGCCGCGAGTGCCAACGCGTCGTAACAAGCTATAAATTTCTTTAGAGGAAACCGGCTAATTGGTCTGTCAATTTATCGATATGGAAAAAATCTATAAATTCTGGTTTTTGTAGAATATCGTCTAATATTGATATAGGGTTTCAGGATTGGAAGCATTGGCGTGCTGGTATATATTGATCAATATAAAACGATATAGGTTAAAATCTACAAAAGTTTTAAAATAATCTTTGCATATCTAAAAATATTTCTTTCGGAACGTACGCTGCGAAATCTTTTTATATTCATCTATTTCGAAGTTAAAATGTTTGAAGTTTAAATTTGTGCGTTGTATTTAGCGCTTGATACGGCTGCTTGATTTTCAGTCAGAGATAATAATGTGCTAGATTTGTACCGGAGTTAACATTGCGTCGAGATAACATCGTCATCTGAGGTAGACAAGATTCAGAATCATACCCAAATCTCTCTCTGACACAGACTATTTGTCATACCTCGCGTATCGTGGTCCTTGTACATTGTCAAGGAATTCGGCGCGCCCGTCGCTAGTGACAAATATCGTCGTGCATGCATATTTTTTTGCGCATGGCCGTGTAAAAACGCGCGACGAAGAAAGGGAGGCCCGATCGATCGGCTTGATTAACGGCGTTATCGCGTGGAATTTGTAACAAGGTGATTCCGAGATCCGGCGTACAGGTGAGATTGGGCGAGGCGGCACGCGTAGCACGCTCGACAGAAGGAAATCCGTGGCGATGAACGGTCGTGTTTCATGGTCTTTCAAAGTAGCGCAGCGGGTAAAGGTCGCGACGTTAATGCTGAGCTCGCGACGAGATAAAATAATGCAGACGCGACATATTACGTGTCGTCTGAAATGTGCGCCAACATCGGTGCACAAGAATGGAGAGAAATAAAAATTGTTGAATTCTTTTTCGACATACATTCTAACGTAAGTGTGAAAAAAGTATGCGATATAAATAAAATATCGCTGGTTGATGGCTCCATAGTATGTCATTGCGAGTTTCTCTCTAAGCACTGATCATTCCCTTTGCAGGCCGCTCACCCTTTTAGGGAAGAAAGCTTTTTTCCTCTCTCCTGAAATTTCGCTTCATATTGCACGCGGCGTGATTAAAGCGCAGCTGAAAATTAAATTTTTCAGGGAAAATTAACAGGTCGCGCAAGAGAATTAATTGGCGCGACTATTTGCGACCTCTGCTATTTTCAAAGAGCCGCTCTCTCATATATGGCGGGATATTTTGCGAGATAGCGAGATGGACGCGCGTCATACGCCGCAACACTGTGCGTATATAGCGAATTAATAAATTAATAAATTGATAGAGATACATTTGCAAATAATCGCGCGTGACGTAATCTATCCGAGGAATTTATTGAGGGAAGAGGTTGTAAATAAATTTTTAATATTTCATGTGTTTTTCACATATTTTTTAACTATTCCGGGTTTTCGGAAATAAAGGATTGCAAATGTCAGATTTTGCATTTGTAAGATATCAAATATATTTTAGATGCGGAGAGTACGTTATAAACATGAAAAGACCGGTTCTTTAGATGAAATTCGTTATTAAAAATAAACTTCTGCGCAAATCACAAAGGCTGGCGGACACGAAATAAAAAATAAATTTGTGAGCCGCGTGCATGGCAGCATGCGATCTCTTACGTGTGTTTCGTATATCAAATTCCACGGGCATTCGTGCAGCGCGCAACGAATAGTTTCAGTAGTATGCTTATTTGCAAGTCGCGACACGCTCAAGTAACGTCAGACTCGCAGCTTTGATTGTACTGCTTTGCCCGACCGACCGAAGCGAGAGTGGATCCGACATGGCGAACGAAGATCGCTCGCTACAAGTGGAAAATTTACTAAACTGATCCGTACTGAAAAATGCACGCGCTTTATTTTCCGCATTTTTGAAAATTAAATAAAGGAGATTATTGTAAGGAAAAAAAGAGAGTATTAAAAACACGAAAAAAAGCGCTTTTGCAACGCGGTTTCGAAAGTAACGAAATATCGATCACTCACAAAGGTCGCTGCGAGATCGCGCGCGGCTCCAAGGTCGGCACACAAGAGCACAAAGTTTATCAGATCACTTTCACCAACGGCAGAATTTTAACAGTGCGCGAATCGGGGCGCGCTGCCAAAAGGCACGAAAAAAAAAGAAGATAATCGCCCCCTCGATAATTCGCCACCGGTATAATTTGTAATCCGTGCGACTGGAAGCAACCGCGGACGCGAATGGGACGGCAATTTACAGTAATTGTTGATTGCACGACTCGATGAATCGTTATTCAAATCCGGCGTGACGCAGCGCCGTGGGAGGCCAGCGGACTGGAAACGGGCCCAGGGGACCGGGAGTTACTGCGAGCGACAGCCTACGGATGCCAATTTTCCGTGATCATTTCACGAACTGTTTATTATTTTAGCGCCGCGAACAATCTAGAATTTAATACGAGCCGCGATGGCCAATCGATTTGCATCGCAATTCTGAAACTATCGCGTTATCGTCGTCGAACTTTATACTCTCTATGCAATGTAATATTAAAAAAAAAAAAGTTTGCTAATATTTTTGAAGATTATCATGATGGTTGTTTTTGGTAGTCAGTTAATTTCATATAGGTGTCCTTATTTGTAATTTCTTTTTATCCTTGAATTAATTTGTAGTCAATAATAGTCCGAGACAGAGCAACCTCAATGTGAGCAACTCGTATTAAGATGTAATCGTGAAATGTATTTATGCTAATTACATGCACGATATAAGTCATCTAATTTTCAGACCAGTTGTCCTTCTGCCGAACTCTCGATACCGGTTCGACGACAGGTTTTCACTCTTATGATTCAAAGCTTGGCTGCCTTTAGAATATTTATATCGCTCTCACGTCATCTCAAAGATTAATACTTATTAATTTTATGTATACTTTGTTAATAAAACTTTATTATTATACATGTGATTTTATAGAAAGCAAAATTAGCTGAATAAAGCTCGCAGCACATAGGAGTAACGACATAAATAATAATTGCCGCTGTAACAGATTTGATCTCCAATGATATTACAAGGATTAACAACCACGGCAACCTCATTTTGCAAAAATGAACATCACGGATTTAAATGCAACGCTCATCATTTCGCGTCGTTATTAATTGAACATAACGTTACACCAGCTCTTTAAATTTTGCTCCGATGCAAATCATCGAAATTTACATTTTTCAAACGTTTTTACCTTAAATTACATAATATTCCACGATTCGTAGAATATTAATAAAAACTGTATACTTGTTGCTTGCTAAACCCTGCGAAATCGATATCGTAATTTTCTTTCGCTGATTTAGCGCACTTGATAAATGCGCGCGCTTCGTATTCGGCGCGTGTCGTATTTCGAAATAAACGTTTACGACTGGCCGTTTTTAACCGTAACGGGCCGTTTTACCAGCTAATTAAAATTATCGCGTGCGAAGGGCCAGAAACGCGCCGATTTCAGCAGCACATCCGATACCGCCGTGCCATCCCTCCCGCTCTTCGCGCGCCGCAAATTTTTCTATATGCAAACGAAGCTACTGTCGAATAATATGCCCGCCTGGCGCGTCCTCATTGAGATTCCGCGCGGCAATAATCGGCCGATACAGTCAACTATTTTACTCCGGCAACCGCATTGTAAGCGCAATAAAGTATGCAAAATTTATCGGCACGGCCGACGTCGTTCCCGTATACTCTCATCGCGTATACGTCGTCCGATCGCGGCATAAATTATTATTACATTTTGCGAAATAGCGGGTCGCCGCGCGCGGGATCACCTCCATTTTATTTATAATGCGACGTCTTATCGCGGAACCGCGGGAATTGCATAACGACATGCGAGTCCGTGGACATGTAAGAGATATCAATGTTCTTGGATATAAATATTTATTTGGTTTAAATTTTATGCAGAAAGTCGTCGAGATGATTGAAAGGCCGGAGAAAATTGAGGATGCACTTCTTTCGAAAGGGATAACGAGGAATTTGTTACTAATTTTTTATGCGCGTAAAATTTCAATCGACTATGTCGGTGTCAAATTAGACTATTAATTGTTTATTCCTTTGTGTGATCGTTTAAAGAAATAATTTCCGACTGTAGCGCAAACGTACCGTTAAAAACAGTCCCGTTCCTCGGTCGAGCTCTTGCATTGCGATTCTTCGATGTGTACACGGTTCTTTGCGCGAGATCTGGAAAGAGACGCGGATGTATTACTACCCTCATTTGTTGTTTGATACATCGTTCGACTCTTGACTCATCGTGCTGGTGTGCGCCCGACCTGATTCACGCCGAATCGCAATAAAGCGCTATTGGGTCGTTAAAATGAAACGGGATGGTAACTAGGCGGAAACAACGACGGAACAGTCGCTAAATGCACGAACTCGAAACACAAAAGTCCCGGCGATCGATGTATCGCTATATACAGACACGCCGATCTTTAACACAACTGTGTGCAATACGACCTTTAACGTATGACAAACTGGTTAATGCGAATAAAATCAAGGAATGAATTCTCAAATGGTAAAAATCACATATTTGTGTAATACGCATCAAACAATTACACATGTCTCGATTAATATTCAGCAAACCGACGAGACATTTACCGTAAATTTCATTGTAACTTATTTTTTTTAACAAATCATTCCAATCATTGATTCCGTCGCAGCACGCTTCATTTTCTACATTAAAATTATGAAAGCGCAATTTTGTTGTTCAATGACCACATATGGTCCTAATAAGTACGTCATCCCCAAATGCTTGACAAATATTTTTTAAACAATTGTCAGCGCTTACATCTATTTTAAATCCATGCGCATTATCAAGCGCACTTTACCGAATTGTTGTTATTGACGTTCATGAATAAAATCAAGCAACCGATTTCAAAATTATACCGAAATATTACCGAAATATTCATGTATTATCACAGAAATGGTTGTATAAATTATCATGCATATTCATGTATAAACAATTTTTTTTGATTGTATATTTTTTGTTACAGAGACCGTAAACAGACTTAGGCAAAATCTCCTGAACTATTTCTGGAATATGCCCGACATCACGAACATCGACATTCCTGAAGGAGCAAATACGACTTCCACCACTAAGGTAAATGATTGATAGACCTAAATTCTAAATTAATTTTTTGCAGACGAGATAGAGAGAAAAAGAGGGGTTTCAATATTTCGAGATAGCTGTTAGAATAATAATTAATTATTAAACATTCAAAAAGTTCTTATTCATTCGATTTTGAAATACAATATTAAGATCTTCATTGAATCAACTGTCATTTTTTATCAATATTTTATATAAAATTTATGTAAGAGGTTTTTAGAAGCTTTAAAATGAGGTTAAAATATATTAAAGATTTATTTAATTAAAGATTTAATTAAAGATTTAATTAAAGATTTTTTATGACAATTATGCGCAGAAAATATTCTAAAAGCCACGTTTTTCAAAAACTAGGATTCATAATTGATAAATGAAATTATAGCGCTATTTTTTCTATAATCTCGATTATTTTATGCGGATCGTATTTGGTGTCGAACACATTTGGTTACGAGCGATCGTCAAATTTTTAGCTGGTGGTTAGTTAATAATGCCGTTCGCGAAGAAGCGAAGTAAAATAATCTCTGACACGCGAGGGAGCTCCGCACCGCGCCGGACATGTCGCGGAGATAATGCATCTCCAACAATTTACGTACACGTGTAAACTGCAGCAACGGAGTAGAGATAGCGAAGGAAGAGAAAGGGCAAGGGGATGGGATCCTTAACAATGGTATGATACCGCCAAGTGTACGACGATGGTGGTGATCGGATTACTGCATTTCCCGTCGCGTATTGTTACACGCTCGAAATCTGCGCGCCGCCATCTCTCTGATATGTAAGTCGCTTAACGCTTGCCGCACAAAGCGCGACTAACGGAAGCGGATAACTGTCCGCCAAAAAGTTCGCCCAAGCTCACGATCCTCTTTCTCGGACACCGCGTTGTATAAAGGCCGTCGTTTACACGCGAATATTCACTTAAAGCGGAAAGGGAAAAAAGAGAGGGAAAGATTACTCTCTTTTCTAAAATGTTGAATCTAAGAAAAATATTTTTTGTCTTTTTACGTATATATTTTTTTTCGTTAATGTATACCCTCGGTAACCCTTTGTAATAATTGATGTACGTAAAAGTCGGGTTCTTTTCCATAAAAGTTGTACGCCAACAGAAAATAGAAGAATGACATAATGTATTATGTACAAATGAGAACATGTGAAATCGAAAGATTATCTAGCGTTCTTTCGGAAAAGTACAGAAATATTTCACTTTCTTCGCTTTCACAAATATGTAGAAAGGTGTAGAAAGTTTAATGAACTAGAATTGCTCCGATAATTCCAAGTGAATCATTATATCTTCTTGTTAACAGAGCAAACCACCGCATTGTATTGCACACTGTCATGTTTCAAACATGGATAAATCTGCGCAGTGGCTGCAAATTCTTCAATAATACAGCTTAATTAATTTTGATGATGCGTTCGTCGGTTATACAAACTATCCGATTAACCCATTTGCATCCCCGATTAAACCAACTCTCTTATTCTCTCTCTCTCTCTCTCTCTCTCTCTCTTCTTCTCTCTCTCTCTCTC